CAGGCATGGTCAGGATTAATGATGATGATGGTAAGTCTCTCCACGTGCTACAATATAAGGTTTACTTTTTGCTTTGTAGTTGTTACTGTTAGCTTTTCAAGACGTGTATATAACTATTCTGAGAGCCATGGATCTGTTAGTGATGTTATAGTACGGTTGTCTGCTCCTATAAGTAAAGATGTACCAGTTCAAGTAATAGCAGGTTAGTCAACAAGCCTTTAGTCTATAAAGTACAAGATGTATTATATTTCTTTTGTTAATAGAACCAATGGATTCACAAACTGTAGTTGAATCAGGCAGCCGTATAAATCAAGCTCTGTTATTCCGTCCTGGTGGTGCTAGCACTATGAATGTACCATTTGGTATTACTGATGATAATGTTGGGCTTGAGACACTTGAATCTTATCCAATTATATTTAATACGAGTTTCAACACTGGCGTTAACTATGGACTCAATTCAAGGATAACTATAACTGATGATGACGGTAAAATAATGTCTTCCTCTCATCATTTATCACATAATGTGTTAAAACTGCTAATAAGTACATGTACACATGTGTACCTCTGTTAATAAGTGTTTCCCTTGGTAATGTCACATCCTTCCTTCCTATTTCTAGATGTTAATGTAATGTTTGTGCAAGGATCCTATTCATACTCTGAAGGTGATGGCAGTTCCTCTGACATAAGTGTCAGAACTAACAGACCATTTGCACAAGACATTATTATTGGGGTATCTGGAGGTAATGAAGCATCTTCTATAATTTATAAAATTTTAGCTTCATATTTTTGTAGGTCCCGGTAATCAGCCTTCAACAGTTGAATCATCAGGTTTCAATGTATCACAGACTTTGACACTTACAGCCAATACAGCCATGGCACCAACCTCCCCAGTGGGTACATTCACTATCAGAGATGATAGTGTAGCATTAGAGACAGAGGAACAGTATTCGTTGGGTTTGAGTACCACTACTACGTATGGAGGTAGAGTTACAGTAGGAGGAGATGCAATAGTCTCTATTAATGATGATGACAGTAAGCTACTTGAAAGTATTATCTACTTGTCTTTAATTGGACTTGCTTTCTTTATAAGGTGTCAGTGTCTCATTCCAAGGTTCAAGTTATACCTACCCTGAAAATCATGGAACAGTGTCTGATATTATACTGGTTGCAAATACAACTGTAGCACAGAATCTTGTTGTTACGGTCTCAGGAGGTTTGCATTTTAATTCATGTAAATATTAAAATAATCATTATGCTCTGTAGGTCCTGGTAATCAACCAAGCACTGTGGTACCCTCTGGTGCTAATGTTAGCAGTGTTGTTACATTCACTGCCAGAGGCAGTAGATCAGAACGATTAGCTCCTTTTACTATCACTGATGATTCCTTTGCACTTGAAACTAATGAGACATACCAATTATCAGTCAGCCAAGCACAGCCTAATCCATCTGTGGGCATTGGGCCTCCTACCACTATCAATATTGTTGATGATGAAGGTAATTTAAGTCAATTAAACCCTGTTTTATGAACAGCACAACTGTTTTTTATAAAAGTAGCCATGTTTCTGTTTCATGCAAAAACACATCAAAGTAGTATTTTTAATGGAAATTACCTCAACATGGCATAATTGAATTGAGTCTGTTTTTACAAAAGGAGCATAATTGAATGCAGTGTAAATGTAATTGAGGATTTATAATTGAAACCAGCTCTGCAGTATTGATATAACTGTTGTGTATGCGTGATACAATTTTTAAAATTATTTCTTGCTTCAACTCAATCTTTACTTTCCTTATTTTTTAGTTTTGAGAGTTACTTTTGGACAAGGCTCATACAATGCTACTGAGGGAGATGGCAATAGAATGTTGCAAGTTATGATTAGCAATCCAATTGTCCAAGACTTTACAGTCACAGTCAATGGAAGTCAGTCTTAGCAATCTTCAAATAGTCTTTTTATAATATTTCTTTAATTTTTAAAAGGCTCCGGTCCCCAGCCTTTTGTTGTTAACAATGGTCCCAGCATCACTCAAACTATCACATTTAATTCTAGAGATAGGACGACAGCAATGGTTCCATTTGATGTTGGTGATGATGCAGTAGCACTTGAGAATACTGAGTCATACACAATTGGATTGAGCAATCCTAGTCAGCCTGGTGTTAACATTGCTTCGAGCACTGAGATAAGGATTGCTGATAATGATGGTAAGAAAGAGTGAGCTCTCTGTCCTGTATAATTATATTGTTGAACTGCACAGCCAAGAATTGTCATGCTGATACAGCTTTACTGCCCAAAATCAGTGAATCAAGCCTGGATACAGTCCTGAGCATATCAGGATTGTATCAATTACGTAATCAGACTTGATTCATTGATTTTGGGCAGTAGCACTGTATCAGCATAATAATTCTTGGCTGCAAATTTTGCTTTATTTTATTTTATTGTCTTATTTTTTAGTTCCAATGGTTGGATTTGAGAGAGACACTTACAGTTTTCTTGAGAATGCTGGAACTACAATGGCAGTTACTGTAGTCCTCAGTAATGAGGTCATCAGGCCATTTACTGTCAGGGTGGTTGGAGGTAAGGCTTGTTACTAAAAATAGCAATAATTACAGCATCATTTATTATTAGCTCCTGACCCCGTGACTCCTGGAAATTCAGGAACACCAGTTAATCAAGTTTTGGGTTTTGCTGCTAATGATAATTCAAGTGTAAGTTAGTGCTCTATAAACTTTATAAGAAAGGCTTTTAACTGTTCTTTTTACTACCTTAGGCTAATTTAAGGCAAATAGTACCTGTTACTGTTATAGATGACTCAATTTCTGGAGAAGCAGTACAAACTTATCCCCTGAACTTTACTGATGTACCACAAGATATCACTATTGGAAGTTTCCGATCAACTAACATTGTGATCATTGATGATGACGGTAAGATTGCAATTATAATAAAGATGATCAAGTCTGTTTTATTTTTTGTTTCTTCCAACAGAATCCGTTGTGAGGATAATCGATGGCGATAAAACAGTTCTTGAGTCAGATGGTAGTTCAGTCATTACAGTAGTACTAACAGGAGCTAACTCTGACATAGTATCAGTAGATATCCTTAACAGCACTGGTAAGATACATTCATTCTGCTAGAATGAGTAGATATTTTAAATTTTATTTCTTTGCTCAATTGTGCTTCCTATCCAAATTATTCATATTCTTTTTATGCAGGTGGTGTAGTTGGTACAGCAACTTTCCTTTCATCGCAGGATGTCACTGCACAGACTTTTAATGTCACTGTCAATTATTTAGATGACAATGTAGCACTTGAACCAAATGAGATGTTCACTTATACACTTGGAAATCTTAGAGGAGAGGCAAGGGTTGGCATGCCAAACACTTCAACTCACACTCTTGTTGATGATGACAGTAAGAGAGAAAGAGGAGGATGAGAGAGAGAGAGTGTGTGTGTGTGTGTGTGTGAAAAGGAGAAATAATCTTGTAAGCAATATGTTGCCAAGAATAGAAGCATATCCTGTTGCTTGGTTGCTAGCAGCAAATTGCCTTGTTTATGAAGGCATTAAGTTACAAATGTAATTGTTCTTTTTTTTACTTCATAGGGCTTACTGTTCAGTTTGTTGAGCGAATGTACACGTTTAATGAACCTGATGGAGCTGTCTCTATTGCAGTGAATATATCTAATCCCATTGCACAGGGCTTCACTATTTCAACTGGAAGAAGTAAACTATGATTTCATAAATAAATTTTGTAGTGTTAACTTTTGTTGTGGTTTTTCTTTTTGAATAGTTATTGAGACGCAGCCATTTGTAATCCCATCTGGTCCTAACTTTTCTGACTCTCTTGTCTTCACACCAACTGGGCCAATGGCCATTGATGTGAATGGGATTGTAACTAATGACATGATAGCACTGGAGGATGTGGAGATGTACCGCGTTCAATTGAGTAATCTTAATATAAGCTCTTCTTACATAACTGTTGGTGCTCCTACTAATGTTAGAGTCATCAGTGAAGATGGTAAGTGTGTGCATATTCATGAAGCCATATAAATGCAGTGCTGCATTATGCATACTGAGTTATATTTATTCATTTCTAGTTGTAAATGTCACCTTTGCTACTGGTAATGATTTCTTTGAATTCGATCAACCCAGAACTGAACAAATTGCTGTGTCAATAACATCACCAATTGCAAGACAACTGGATGTTAACATCAGTTCAGGTATGACAAACAAATATTCTAAGATTATTGATACAAAAAATTGTTCTTTCTAGTCTACCAGCCGGATCCATTAGTTGAGCAGTCAGGAATGAGTTTTACTACACAAGTATCATTTGTTAGAGGTGGTTCAGTCATTGACACATTTAATTTCCCAATTGGCACTGATGATGTTGCATTTGAAGCAGTAGAGAGGGAGGTATTGTCTTTCACTGGATCATCTCCTAGTGCTGGAGTCAATTTTGGACCAAACACTGAAGCTACAATTACTGATCGAGACGGTAAACATTTCTTTTTTTTTCACTCCTTTATATTTTAATTTTAATTGTATTTTTATTCCTGCAGTGGTGGGTATCATGTTTGTTGATAGCTCCATCACAGTATTAGAGAACAGCTCAATGGTTACTGTACAGTTGATGAGGAGCAACCCAATAAGACAAAATGTGACTGTTAGAGTATTAGGAGGTGAGGGCTATTTTGTCAATTTTTTCAATCAGCGAAAAAATTGATAGTTCTTTTTAAAATTATAACCAGTTTATAGTTTTAGCTTAATATATATATTATATTTAATTTACTGCAACTAAAAATACTTTAAGCCTCAATGTACAAAAGCAACACTATAGACTGATACCATATCAAATCTTTTTTTCACAGGACCAAACCGAAATCAACTGTTTGTAGATACTTCTGGTACTGATGTCGACAGATTCGTTACATTCTCTCCCAATGGGCCAGATAAACAACCACTCACTTTCCAAGTCACTGATGATCAGACAGGACTAGAGGACTTAGAAACATATTTCTTGAACCTTACCTCATCCATCCCAACCACTAGAGTCAATCTAGGCAGTTCTCTACGAGTTAATATCATGGACAATGATAGTAAGTCTATTATTAGTAATAACTTGATGATGTAATGTTGCTATTTTTAGTTGTTGGTGTCAATTTTAATCAGACTTCATATGATTTTGATGAAGATGATGGAGCTGGGTCAGTACAAGTTGTGATTGATAGACCAATTGCACGAGATTTGACTGTACCAGTTAGAGGAGGTTTGTTGATCTCTCTCTCTCTCTTCTTTTTTTAATTGATAATTTATCAATTGTTTTTAATTTCCAATAGCCCCTGGAACACAGCCAAGCACTGTATTCATATCAGGAACTAATGTTAACAGTGATGTCACTTTCTCAGCTGGAGGGGTACTACAAATGACTGTCTCTTTCCCTATCAATGATGATAGCGTTGCTCTTGAAGACGTGGAGTCTTATCCATTAAGATTTGGTTCTTCTACTCCAAGTGGTAGAGTTACAACTGGTGCACCAACCACTCTTAGGATAAATGATGATGATCGTAAGTATAATATCTACAATTGTTATATTTTCATGCAAGCTCCTTTAGTTTGAACTCTTAATATATCTCATTTTATATTAGTATATTGTTATTATTCCTATTATTTTTTGCATTCTAGCATTTTTCTTCGGCTTCAGAGAGAGTAATAGGACCTATCCTGAAAATGGCGGCAGTGGTAGCTTTACCTTTGTATCTGGCCCTGCAGCCAGACCCGTCACATTTGATTTTACTCAAAGTAACAAAAAATAAAAAATTTTGTACTTTTATAATCTTTTTCTAGCTGATGGTTCTTTAATGGGCATTAATGAATCTCTATTCACAATGGTCTGTGGCACTGGGTCTACATTAACTGTTCCCAGTTCACCATCAGAGACGCCAGTTGTCTGTTTGGCTGATATAAGAGATGATTCCACAGCACTTGAGAATGATGAGAGATCAAGCATTAGAGCAGTGCCAATATCTGTTACTGGAGCAGAGCCTGTTAACGAACAGTTCACAGCCATTGTTATAGATGATGATGGTATGTGTAATTTTAATTTTGTGCCGCATGCATGTCCTTCAAAATATAATGGGTATCAATTTGCCTCTTGGCCAAAGACCTAAGGGTCTTTGGCCAATATTTTGAGTAACTTTAAAAATTCATTAAAAATCTAAAATTGATTGGACTTAGTTCAAACTTTATACATAACATAAGTACATGTATATGCATGAAAAAAAAATTATAAAAATGGAGGATTCTCAACTTTTCATTTTTGGCGAAATTTGACTGATGACCCTGTACTATAGTACAGGGACTTTGACCCAATTTTGGAGCAACTTTAAAAATTCATAAAAAATTAAAATTTGATTGGAATCAGCTCAAACTTTTTACGCAACATAAATACATGTATATGCATTAGAAAAATTTATAAAAGTGAAGAATTCTCAACTTTTCATGTCTCTGTACAGGGAGGGACTTTGGCCTGATTTTTGAAAAAATTCATTATAAATTGGCATTTCTGCAATATTATTCTTACTTGCAATGTAGTAATTTTTACAATACTTGTATTATTTATTATCATAGTTCCTGGTATCTTTGTTACACCACCTACTACCAGTGTTGTTGAAGGAGGCTCAGTTCGAGTGTGTGTTGAATCAAACGTTACCTCATTGAGACCAATAGATGTAACACTATCTACTATCAATGGAACTGCTACTGGTAAGTCATGTTTTTCATAATATCCTAAGGAGTAATTTTTAAAATGTAATATGTGATTGAAAAGATGCTTTATACATGTAGTTTAAAAATTAATATTTATTATGATTATATTCAAGTAGGAAGTGTCGACAGCTTTATAACGTATACTAGCAATAATGATTCTATTTTTACAACCTGGGGGCGTAGCCCCCAGGTCGTCCTATAATTGATTTCACTCACGTGCGATATATATATATTTGATTGTATGTCAACACTTCATTTCTTCTATACACGTTGTATTGGAGAAATAACAAGCCTTAGCAACCACCCGCCCACGCTACGTAAGTGGGTGTGGTCACGGCAAACAAAATGGCGGTTTGAACATGGAACAAATTTATGAGCTTTCTAACAGCGAAAGAACATAGAGATACTGTCTAAAGACTTTTCTAGAAGCAGTAGAAGGTAGAGAGAATCTTCATAAGTCTTAATAAGAACCCAGCTGTACATGCAAGGTGGTGAAATCAATTATAGGAATATTTTTACATTGTTACGCTTGTTCTCTTTCTTTCTATTCTATCCTTAGGCCCACCAGATTTTGTCGGTGGTTCCGCCCAACTCACAATACCAGCTGGTTCTCGGGGTCCACAGTGTGCTATGGTTAGGACACTCAATGACACAGAAAGCGAAGGAAATGAGACCTTTTCCATCGGCGTTACTAACATCAGCACTAGACCATCTCCTAATGCAACCAATCCACAGACCCCAGTACCCATTGGAGGAAGCAGCACATCAACAGTCACCATCATCGATACCACGCCCGAGTCACGTCGCTGTGAGCTTAGATCATCCACCCGCAGACTGACGACATTCCGCGATAGAGAGAGCTATATTTATAATGGAAGCTGCGAGCGATCGCTCGTCGCCCAGAGAACATCTTTCGGGGACTTTGCTGTTGTCGTCGATAGCCTTGATGGATCCTTCATGACAACACGTCTTGGAGTGAGACTTGGTCGCGAAGTATTAGTAGTGAATGCTTTCAACAGGACTATCATAAGACAAGAGAATTTGAATAGAGTGGCATACTCTAGCATGCCAAGTGAGCTACGTATATCAGTAGCAGACTTAGACGTTCAGATTAACATCAACGATGATGGAATTGATATCAATATCGGAGAAGGCTCGGATCTAGATACTCATACTGGCCTCTGTGGGAACAGGAATGGAATGTTGGTGTATAGGAATGGAACAGTTGTACCTGACCCTGACAGCAACATTAACAGATTATTGGGTCATTACACTACTCCTCCTAGTGAGACATTTGTTCGTACTATTGCAAGAAGACAGTGTGGTAAGTATCTCTCACTTAATCACATGCCATATACTGGGATATTTTTGCGCTGCTAAATTCTTTGCAAATCTTGCATTTGTAAAATTTCACTAAATAAAATTTTGCAAATTGCACTTTGTGGCAATGAAAACGCAATTTTAATTTTAGCGATTACATCTACATTACATTTACATTTTGAAATTTAAATCTTGAAATTAGTCTTTGACCAAGAATTTCTTAAACCCCCTCTAGATTTAACACTCCAATGAGCCTACATAGAGTATTTTCTTAATATAATACTTTGCTTGTTTTATTTGCAGGTTTATTGGGTGAAGACAGTGAAACAGGTGACCCAATGTTCACAGTCCCACTCTACACACCTGATTTGGCACAACCTCACACTTACTCACTCTGCTATGAGATCCATGGAAGTGGTGACCAATACTACAACTTTATATCCGACGGATGCACATCAGTCAACGGCCACTACTTTAGCACCGATGATCCTGATGATAACCAGAGAGACTTTCATGGAGTTGATAGGATACGCATTCGAGCAGTGAATAAGAACCAGCAATGTGTTGATATATCAGTTATACTAGGGTCAGATAAACTCTGTACTACATCAGTTGGTAGCAATGTTATAAGTAGTTATGACTCCTCTGGTATTACTGTTAGTGTTGATCGTAATACTACTAGGATCTCTGTTCCTAATTGTGCCGATGCTGCATTAGAGATGACTGTACATTGCAACGTGACCCCATCAGGTATCGGCTATCAAGAGTTTAGGGTAATACGTGGGTTGAATCTCAATGAAGATTCGCATGGAATCATTGGTGAGTGATTGTAAAAATGGATTGTGACTATACGTCCATTAAATGCACATAAATAACTTGGTTTCTTATTATACTCAATAGCTTATTACTAGTATTATTGTAATGTATTTTTAATGCAGGTCAGTTCTGGAATGTTGAGACTCAAGTTACTAAATACAATGGTACTCTTCGTGATGGCACTGTATCGCCTAATGCTTACCGTATTGATGTAAAACCAAGAAACAAGCCACAAAGGAGTTTTGTCGGATTCCTGGAACCTGTCACCTGGGACTTTACACCTCAGCGCTGCTTGTATGCTGGTAATTCTCAAGGAGGAGCTATTAATGAAGTCATAGAAGATGATTTGAACCATTCGCTTTTGGAAGGCGACTACAGAGACTATCAGATGGAATCTTCATTTGATACAGAATTTCGTTATGGACACTTTGAGAGTAATCGCTGTTAATGAACTCTCTCTTTCTCGCTTTTTTGATTTTCTACATTTATATATTGTATGTAGTGTATTAGTTAGTTCATTAGCTTCTCTCTCCCCCTGTGTTTAGAATAGATTTAGATATTTTTTTATTATTATTATTTTATTATTATTGTTATTATTATTTTTTGTATGCTTCATATTATGATTTGATAAAAATTTCAACTGTAAAAATATTTAAAGACAACATTCAAAGCATTAACATTCTCTACAATAGAAACATAAAATTAATACGTTTTCTTGAGCTTCTATGATCAATATATGCACTCATCTCATTCACTAACAGTTTTACTGAAATCATTTTTTTATTAAGCCAAGAAATCAAAAATGTGATAATTAATTACAAATATTTATTATTAAAGAAAAGTGCATGTCCTATAGTGTTGCATGAGTCCTAATGTTAAGTTCTTGGCTTTGATGAACGGCCTGGTCCAGTTACTGCCATTCGCAGTAATTCCATCCATAGTTATCAGCATTATCAACTGCTGTATCAGGATAGAATCTAGCTAAATCTTGACTTTGAATGAAGCCATATACATGATCAAATGTATTACCAAAAGCATGACTCCATTCATGAATCAGTCCAAACTCCTTGGTGTAAGTACCTGGACTTCCACAAGAAACGGGAAATGCATAAAAAGCATTGCAAATCCAAACCGTAGTGGTGCTGTAACCTCTATAAGTATAGCCATACCAAGAAGGCTTGCAGTATGGGCCACCATTCACATAGGTAACTGCATAACCTGCCAATCCACCTTTTATTCTGTTATAGACATCAAATACTCTGAATGCCCTTTGTCTTGTATAAGCCCCAAACCATTTCTGATACAAATAATTATTACCAATTCTTATTCTATCAATCCCATTGCAGAGCAGCCTATGAGCATCAAGTATTTGTTGGTTGTTAGCTGCA